GTTCTTTCGATGGAAATTTAAGTGAGAATTAAGAAACGACAACTGTATTCAGCAGTTAACAGTGCACTGCACTGCAACACAACATTGCACTCGCTGCAACACAACAGCGCGGCGCCAACAGAGCAGCAAACTAACACAACCGGAAACAGCAAGCAAACTAACACAGCCGTAAACACAGCAACCCGAAACGTTGAGCTTTAACGACAGAAGTCGCAAACAAAACCGCGTGGAGTCATTCCGGACACGTGTCCGGTATTACCCCGAGGTCAGCTTTATTTTAAGAAAGCAGGCAGCAGTCAAAGGCATTGCGTCGCAAACGCCTCACATCCAGCAGTCGCCTAAGAAAGGCTTAATTGAAGGTCATTGCAAAGCAGCACTTCTGAAAATGCGTTAACACATTTCACAGTCAGCAAAAAGATGCAACAAAAATTAAAAATCAGATACGAAAAACACATTTAACGCTATAAAAATGAAAATAATGGAGCTACCGTGACAAACTTGCACCACGTGCTAGAATGGCGCTCAACTGAAATGTAAACAATATCAGCTGAATAGTGATGGACAAAGTACTCACTAGAGATGGGTGGCCGGCATTACCCACCGTCCGCCATTGCCCCGCTCTCCCCTATATAAGAAGCAGGGCTGCGGAGTCGATGGATTTTCGGCGACTCCGACTCCGACTCCGGCTTTCAAAAACCAGCTCCGACTCCGACTCCGACTCCGGGCAGAATTGTCGACTCCGACCGACTCCAACTCCCGACTCCGACTCCGCAGACCTAGCAGGGCTGCGGAGTCGACAGATTTTCGGTGACTCCGACTCCGACTCAGACTCGGGTTTCTAAAATCGACTCCAACTCCGACTCCGACTCCGGTCACAACTGTCGACTCCGACCGACTCCGACTCCGACTCCGACTCCGACTCCGCAGCCCTGAATTAAGAAGTGTTTGCATAATATTTTATTGCTAGATAGCATGGGTGTAGGAGCTGAAAAAAAATATTGGTGGGTCTAAATATCCATTAGTACCTAGCATTTCCACTGTGGCTACATTAGTTATGTCCAGAGGCGGATACAGCCATTTCCAAAGGGGGTGCCAAAAGGGTGCCAAAGTCCGAGAGTCTCCACAAGAGCTGCATATGTGTATGCAGGACTGAGGAGCGAAAGGGGGTGCCGTAACATGGCAGGCGAGATAGAACTGGTTGAGTGAACGATATGGTTGAGCTACTGCCGCTGTGTCACTCAGTGATGGCCAGAAAGAACGGTGTACTGCGTGCCTTTGAGAACAAGTGCGAGATAGGTTTCTGAGAGGAATAACGTAAAGAAGATAACCAATCGCGGCTTTTTCATGAGCCATACCGTTATCTAACGGGGACAAACACAGAAAGGCTCAGTCAGAGCTTTTGGTTTGCGAGGTGTTGGAGAAGCTCAGTATGTTGTGGGAACTTAACGCTGTTCAGTGTGATTCCGTTGGCTGTTGCGCTGTGGTCCCATGTAGTCTGTAGAAGCATCGTTTATCTCCTCTCGAAAGTAACACTTATTGTATAATTTTGCTAGCTCGCGAAGTTTAGTCCCAAAGTTAAGCAATGTTATTGTTCATTGTGATTGCATCAATTAATGCAGGACCGAAAACAAATGCGCTGTTCTTCGTCTATTTCTTGTTGGGATTCTTAATCGACTGATCTCATTTTCTATTACCGGAAACAACTGTTAATACGTTTAACTACGTGGCAACCCTGACTGCGTATAGTATCGCAGGCACGCTGATGTGGCCTTTGGTCGTGGGCATTTACACATGAACCTGCTGCTGCGACCCTCATCGGTCTCCGGATACAGAAGCCCTTGAGAACCGGCGCGGGCGGACCTTTCGGACGAGGTCTTGCCGAGGTGATGCGGGAGGTAGAGGACGGACCGTCCATAGCGCCGGTGAGCTATTCTCTAACTATCTCCCGGAGTCAGGGTGGCTGCAATTTTTTTTTTGCGCTGCCCTGGCTTGGCCGGACTGACAAAAATGTAAAAAATCAAAAAAAATAATTCCCGAAATCCGAGGAGAAAAATAGGGGTAGCTCGTTTTTTTTGTTTTTTTTTTGTTCCTAAGACTGGACGTTTGAAATTCTCGCCGACTTGCCTGGCGGCGCAATGTTTGCCCCCCCTAAACTCAAATCCTAGATCCGCCACTGTAAAAATCGTTAGATATCTGCGCTGACGTCACACATTCAGAGGGGTATTCCTATGCATTAGCCCCTCTGAATCAAAATGCTGCAATTTTGAAATTCAATATTTCCGATTTAAGGCATTTCTCGATGTTGTGAGTGCCGAAACCGGTAATTGTGAGCCAGGGACCCCATTTTGGCTATCTCAACTCAAATCTAATGTTAAGGTGGGAGGGTCCCTTTAAAAGTACCGCGCAAAGTGACGGTGGTTCCATCAAGCCTGACGGAGGAAGGGCCTGCTAAATTTGAGTCACCGAAGCAATTGACATCCTCGTCCATTCCCCAGGTCAATTGGTTCGGTGACTTTCAAATTATAGCAGGGGCCTTTCCTCGGTCAGGCTTGATGGATCCACAGTCACTTTGCGCGGTACTTTTAAGACAGACTGGACGTACAGTCTGTCTTAAAAGTACCGCGCAAAGTGGCGGTGGATCCATCAAGCCTGACCGAGGAAGGGCCTGCCATAATTTGAAAGTCACCGAACCAATTGACCTCGGGAATGGCCGAGGATGTCTATTGCTTCGGTGACTCAAATTTAGCAGTCCTTCATCGGTCAGGCTTGATGGAGCTACCGTCACTTTGCGCAGTCCTTAAACCGGCACCGCCTGGGCTATTTCCGTACCCACGACAGCCTGGGGGGGGGGGGGGGGGGTCGGATCCGACCCCCCTGTTATCTCGAAAACCGATGGTCGTATCGAGCCCCGCGAGGCGGCGTTCGAAAAGTCTCTACGAGACCTTCCCAAAGCACTCTTAAGATTTTAAGATTGAGGTCAACTTTCGGGTCAAGGTCAGGTCAAAGGTCAAATTCTGGGGTTTTGCATGATTAGGCTTACGAACAGCGGAATCGATAGCTGCTGCTCGAAACTCACCAACAATGACCTCAAAGACCTAGTGAAGGTACCATGTGCGTATAGGGGTCATACTAAGTACGGGTCAAGGTCAGGTCAGGTCACGAAAAGTTACGGTTTTCACTTTCTGCTACATGGGCGTGCGACACATGTTTTATGGCTTATTTTTCACGCCGAATCCGGTGATAATGGTCATATGTGACCCCAAGTCACTGTGCTGGTGATAAGTGTGCATTGAAAGCATAAAAATCGTTTATACCATGCATAACTAAACGAAGGCTAAGAAAAAAGCCAATTTTTCAACTTTTTATTTTTGACATAAAAATGCACTTTACTAGACGAGCTTCGTCCCAGAAATCTAGTGGTGCCATTTGTTTTTACATGCGATGTTCAGAAGCGCCTCTAATTCACGAAAATGCTTATGACGTCACCATGCCCTATGCATGTTGGAGCTATTATTTTACAATTTGGGGGTCAATTAAATCAAGATAGAAAGTTGAAATTTGGGACATAATGTTCTAATAGAGCTCTATAACATATATTCCGATTTTTTTAGGTCAACTTGAGGAAATTCTCTACATTTTGGATTTTATTACCTGTTTTCCCAAAAAATATAGTTTTTTGAATTTTTAGGGGTGAAAAATTCATTTTATGGAAAATCCGAGATAGCCATTTTAAAGACCTCGTTGAGCTGCGTCTATTCTTGTCCTTAATTTGCAATGTGCTTTAAACTTTGATTTTCGGCGATTTTTTTAAAAACATTTACCACTTTTTGACTGAAAACGCCATGTAGTTACATCACTAAAATCGATATATCTAAAAAAAAGAAATAAAATAAATTTTTTACAGGAGACGTCAAATTGATGAGGGAGAAGGTATGCATAGTTTCAAGTTGATAGCGTAAGCGGTTCATGAGTTATTCAAGAAAAACGGAGGGGGGGGGGGTCGGATCTGACCCCCAGGCGGTCGCGGGTTAAGACAGACTGTACGTTCTTCATGTGTTTCCAGGCTCGGTGTGACCATGTGAATTGTGAGGAAGAGCGCGGGATCCGGCAGGGGCTCCGCCACCAAGAGGGTCGAGCAGGATAATCCTCACAATTCCGTAATGGAGCGTAATATATAAGAATTCGCATTTTTGGGGTCGGACCTCCCCAATCCTGAAACGTGACCCTGCGTCTCGGCCGCGGCCGGGGGCAGCGGTCATTCGGGACTTAGGGGCCGCAACGAGCACACGCTGCTGCCGCTGCTGCAATATACCATTTACCAATATAGGGGCTCCATTACACGACAGAGGGGACGCTGCTTTACACCCAACAATTAGAAACGTGCCAGCATGTGAAATGATATATAGTTGTCCCATGGAATATGACGAGTTTCTTCAAGGTCACTTGAAGATCAGGTCAAGGCCATTGACGTTACGTAACTTCGGTCGACGATTTTGACTTTTACAACTTTTTGGGTGTTTTTTGGAACTATAGCTCAAATTTAGCACCCAGTTGAACATTTTAGAAGTAGTTTTGGTGCCAACGCCACATCATTTTGCAAAGATGTCAGCAGTGGTAAACACATCAGTCGGTACCTATAGGTCGGTAGGTACTATGAAAAGCCGGCGGGATGTCTGATGACTGCCTTGACTTGACCTGACCCGACCTGTCCTAAATGCATAAATGCTATCATCGGTTTCCTCTCGTCACGGGCAATACGCTATTTTTCTGCAATGCTCCAGCTTGACCAGAAATCAAACGGCTGAAGGGTATGTGTGTGTGTGTGGGGGGGGGGGGAACGATCAAAGGCTGTAAGACCTAATACGGGAGAGAATTTCAAACATCTTCTGACCGCTTGTCAAATGCAGAGTGTATTATGGCACCTTACTGGATCGAATAAGGCTGTAAGAAATGAAAATGCGCTGGTTTCGCTGGGTGAACGAAGTGAAACCGTACCCCAGTGACTGTCACAACAAATATATTTTTCATAATAGGTAGGTATATGGTATAATGTCATATGAACCCTCAAGGAGCTTTTCATCAATATCAGTTACCTACTTAGGAAACATCATTTCTGTTTCTGTCCAAATATCACCGAAACTTGTTTTGCATTCAATAATTTCTATGTCGTACCTATTGACTCCCACAGTTGAGCTTTTGAAACCACTCTCAGCTTGGCATCATATAAAAGGATGACATGTCAGATCGTAGATACCTATATACCATTGAAACAAACCACGTGGCACGTCATCACTCAACAGCGTATGTCGTGACCCCGTGACAGTATCGTCGCTCCTACAGATGCACCAGCGGCCCACGCGTGCCAAACACAGAGTAATGCCCTTTATATCGCGCCAACTCGCTGTCTCAAATATCGAACCGATCACACGCTCACAACTTCAAGTCACCAAGACTGGCACCAGGAACATCACCGGGCACCAACAGTCACCAACAGCACATATAAAGCTTTCTTGGGCGAGAGTTAAAACAATGTCATGCTCCATCGTCAGGTCACATATATCAACCACAGGGAGTCATCACAAACACATAATCACTGAATCAATGCCAGCCACGGGCTAGGTGCTGTCGGCTGTGACTTTTGACTCCACCAATGTAGGCCCGGCCGCCCCCATACGAACTGGTCAGCCTCCAAATCGCTGGCTTCCAGTCGGTCTCAGCTGATGACTGTGTGATCCTGGGAGGCCTCAGCTCTGCCCCGTGCGACCCTGTCGGTCCCATATGGAATGACGCGCGCCTCGCCACGGAGTGATACGACAGTAGGGACCTGCAGGGAGCCCCGCCGCTGGTGGTCCGGCCAGCAGTGGCCCGCGGCCTCAGTGAAGGTCATGGCCGGCCCGGGAGGGGTCAGGGGCTCCGATTGATCAGCTAACGGCCGTAGTGAGCAGTCGCTGGGTGGTGAGCAGCAGCAGCAGGCCGCCCAGACAGCAGCGGCCGCACACGGAGAAGGACGAGCAGCCCGTCTGCATGGCGGCCGGGTGCTCCCCTGCGGAACGGCCCAGACTGTCATTGGGTGGGGAACGGAACGTGGCGTACAGATATATCATAGAAGACCGGAGCGTCACATCACTGGCTAAGAGGGATCGGATTCGAAGAAGATTGATATATAATGCAGGAGAGACACAAACAAACTAGGCGATATGGGTGATATCATCGATGGAAGACGAGCATGATAAACATAGTTCGCAGGATGAAGTTAAGTGACGAGCATCATATTGCCGACAGAAGGAACCGGACCTTCGTCGAAGGTCTCGTACCGGCTTGCTGCTAAAATGAATAACATTTGAAGCTCAGCTTTCGGAGGATTGAAGTCAAAACCCAGAAAACAGCGCAGCAAAACATCTTTGTAAGGTGCATATATCAAGGTAATGGCGTGTTCGCACACTGCGAATTGTGGCACAAAACATCCGTATTTGGTAACGGTGTTTTCTCTCACAAAGGCTCACCCACTCCCATCTAGTCCCCTGCTTCTAAAAGCCGTTGCACCAATGGGTCAGCGATCAATGTGTCGCCGGCGCGTGGCTACATTAGGCGGTACATCACAGTATGCCCGGGCGGGGACCGGCAGCCGTCGCCGCTCAGGCGACCGCAGATCGATGACAGGTAAGAATGGGCCCCGGCCTCAGAATAAGAGGCCATTAACGCACACTCACACCCGCGGTCTACTAATGATGGCTCATTGGGGTTTAGTGAATGACGCCCGATTTCAACACGCCCATTTCAATCCGTGAAATCGGTGAATATCCCATCGTTAGTGTGGTGACGGGTGAGGGAACGGTACGGTCCGGCGAAAGCAAAATGATTGACTAGAAGGGGGCCTAAATATGTAAAGTATGCCCTGTATACTAAGCACTGACCGTCCAGTATGTGCACGGTGACGGCGGCCGGCTGGGCGTTGCTGGGACTGCAGACGTACTGTCCCGAGTCGCCGCCGCCGGCCGAGCGGATGAGCAGGTGCGAGGTGGTCGTGTGGCCCCGCGCCGTGATGACGCTGATGCCGCCGCGCGTCGAGCTGAACGTCACCACCTGGGAGGGGGACCACACCGAGCTAGCCAACGTCTGGAGCACACAGACACACGCGACACTCAGGCGGGCGGCGGCGGGGAGCGGCCGGGCAGGTTAGTCATCCCGGCCCCGGCAGCCAGAATCGACTCACAGTCATATCACTATCAGACGTTCGAGCGTGATGACACATGCAACGCTAATGTTTTCAGACAAACTGTTTACATTGAGAGACAAGATTACAGTACCTATCAATTACGTGCGTTTTTACTGAGCTAAGGAAAAAAAACGGTTGCACCGGGAAATTTCAAAATACCTTCAATAACCCCAAGTATGTACCTACTGTACTGTACAAAGGAACAAAACATGCTGCTGACGTGCAGTGCATAATGCCGTAGTGCATAAGCGGTATATTGTACACGGGGTATATTTCGAAGTACCAACCCAATCATGGAAAAGACATAAGAATTGTCTACGTAAGCTTAGACACACATAAACAAGCCAGGGTGTTCCGCGTCGTAACACATTGCGTTCCCATCATATATCAACTGGGTGCCGCCGACCATGGTCTAAGTTTCCGACCGGGACGTTGCCTTATCCGGCAGTGCAGCACCAACATTCTAGTGTCGCTCGGTCAATCTTTTTACAATGTTTAACTCACTTCTATATTTGTACAAAACTTTGTACCTACACGTTTCATCTGCATATACAGCGCTTTGAAGCGCTTTGTAAAGGGCGGCTTTCATCAAGCTCGCGAAGTTTTTGCCACTATGGGCTTCTCTAGGCCCGCCGAATTATTTGGCTTAGCCAGCTTTGGAAAACAAACCAATTTCCGTTTCCCATGCCTTGAACAATTTTCAAAAGGATTGTGCTCCTTCTTGCAGAAATCAGAAATGACGGATGCTCCCCATGTAACACATTGCGTGCAGTCACGGAATGCAATGCCTCAGTGTCGGCGGCGCGGGAGAACAAATCAGAGTGAGTCCGATTTCCGGCAACTGCCGTCCGGTCGGCCGATGTTGTCTGTGCCGAGCTGTCAATGACCGTCGCCATCGGTTCTCGGCCGTCAGCTCGGCGGTAAATTGAGCAGTTCGTGACCGAGCTCCATCTGGTCGGCGACATTTGCGGCGGCGGCCGAGGCGCCACCCTCGTCTCCTGGCGTAGTTGTGAGTCTGTGGCGGAACTGTGAGTCTGTGTCAGAGCTGTGAGTGTGCACGGGGGTGGGGGAATTTGGAGCAAATGCTCCCCGATACGCCCGAAATCGACGATTTTTCGCAGAGGCTCCCGTACCATTCCGCCGAGGTGGGGAGAGGCTGCCCCATCCCTGGTTCCAGTAGAGCCACTGTACCGAGGTGGGCGGTTCGAAACTGTACCTGCACGAGCGGCCATATTCACCTGATTCCTGTGGAGCCACTCCACTGATGTAGGCGGCTCAGGACTATAGCTGACCGTGCAGGTCAGGTTCAGGTCACTGCCCCGCTGGATAAACACGCTGCTGCCGCCCAGAATCCGCGCCACCGGAACTAGAAAACGTGGGCATGTCACACTCCAGAGTCATATGGAGTGCAAGCACACGAGGTAAACAGTGGGTTGAAAAGCGTATGTCACAGGGGGGGGGGGAGGGACTACTGGCTAAGCAGATTACATGAATATCGTTAACATACCCACAGCTGAAATAACATTAGCTATTTAAGCATCATTGAATTTATCAGCCTAGCTGCGGCAAAAGTGCAGAATTGGGACAAAAACCGGTACCTAACCATGTCAGTTCAACGTCACTTCACCGACTGGGACTGTCTTTGACTCCTTGACTTCTACGTTTCGTACCCTCATAAGTAGAAAGGTAATCTGTCTGAATGGCCAGTCGTTTTTGTCCCGACCACAGCATGCGCAAGTAGCATGAGGCAGAAACACATCATCGTTATTTTTAAATGACAGTGGCTGCACCTAACACGAACGAAGAACGTGTCACCCGCACAAGCTTCTAAAAACGGGTCTGATTAAATGAGACGATCATGTAATAATTACATAGGCGTCGCCAGAGATTTTCGGTTGGGGGGGCAAAATCAACTTGTGTGTTAAAACTTGCCTTTCCCCAGTCTTTACTCACTCTTTTTACATATCATTCGACGCACAATGCACGGTCTTGCCGAATACCAGATTAGCGCGAATTTAATCAAAAACCCGACTTTCGATAAACTGTTATTTATACCTATCAGTGGGTAGGCAATTGTCTGAAGTTATCTGATAGAACCTTATTTTTAAGCCACTTTACCATTTGAGGACTTATATCCCTGCCGAAAGTAGACCCACGCTCCGGTTCCTAAAATCGGGCTATGGTACTGATAAATATGTCCAGTTTTCAACGTAAATTTTACGGAAGTTTCGAGAAGATATATGAGAAAATAGCATATCACCGGATAGCACAATTCATGATGAAGCTGTTTCTGCTATCATGGTAGCTTTTCAATGAATGGTTTTTGAGTTTAATGAGTTAGAACAAGAGCCCTGCATGTGTATCGTTCTCACGATAGTATTTAATAAAGAAGTTGAAAAATGTCAAAATGGATAAAAATGGATATGACGAATAGGGCATGGCTGAACTCTCCGCACCTTTCTGAACATAAGCGAGCAAGTTTTAGCTGCCAGTTTTTGCCTATTTGCCGTCAACTCAGCTTTGAACATGTCTAGTCGGCCGCCCTATGTGGCCTGACCAAGGTCGGGGGCGGCGCGGCCGGACAGGCTCCAGCCTAATAAACTATCTCAAGCACACGAAATCGTGATTTCATGCACTCCTTGCAAGGTCCGATGCTTCACCTATGCATTGTTGGTCTTACGTGACGTCATTTATGACGTCACTAGGGTAATAAGAGTTTTTCGTCAATAACTCCCGATTAAATTGAGCTAGCGAGTCGAGAAAGCCACCAATGGACTCAGGAAGACTTGCTGAATCGAATGATATGCAACATGACCTCCTTCAACCAACTTCGTGATCTGGAGGACTCTGACCTGACCTTGACCCACGGTCAACACCTTAAGTTAACTTCAGCCGAACAAAAAGTATACCATTCGACGCGCCTGAGTGAGGCGAACATGATGATACCAAAATTGCGGCTCTGCGGCATTTTTTTCGCGAAGTTATTAATAAAAAATGAATCCGCGCCTGGGTCACTTGACCTGACCTCAGAGGTCACAGGTTGGCCTAAGACCTTAAAATCGGATACCAGTCGCTGCGTCTCGTAACGGCGCACACGCTCGTTTTTTCCGCGGGGCTCTAGCTCCATCAGGGGCGAAACAGCGACGGGGGTCGTACCAACCCCCCCCCCCTTCGGCCGGCGCGTATTTTGAAAACCAATAAGTCCGGCGAGGGGTAAGTGTCAGTTTTGGAACCAGAGAACCATTTTCAGTGGATCCGAGCAGCGCTGGGATTAAATTCGCGCTAAACTGGTGTTCGGCCACACTGTGCAATGGTGCGAGGAATCCGATGGTGGCAAAGGTTTCCTTCTAGCTATGACACGTAATTTTTTACAGAAAAATTTGAAGTTTTGAAATTTTATGACAAAAACGACTGGTAGAATTATAGTATATAGTGGCTGCGATTGCCGACGCACTGCAGAGGGCCCCTGTGCAGACGCTCGACGCTCATGATCATTACCTAGAAAAAGGTGAAAAACGCTCCATTTAATCGGCTCACCCTGCTAAAACCTCCATTCACGCATGCATGCAGAGGTTTTACGTGAAATGCATAGGATTTATCCCAGCCGCCGATCGTAGCTAAGTTGGGCTCGGCGGAGAGTGACTGTCGGAAGTGTGAACCGGAAGTAATTCATCTTTGCTCCAGTGAGAGGAAGTGTTTTGTTCATTCGAGTGTGAACAAAAGTTTCTCGTTTTTCGTGTGAAGGGAAGCGCTGCAAACGCGAACAAAAACTGTTAAACGGAACCAAAAGTTACGCACGGCATAGCGGCAAGGGATCCCTTAGAGATAGGTTTGGGACTTCCAGGCCATTTCAGGCCACTCAGGGTCAGTGTGACTCTCAGAAGCATGCTTAGGATCCCGGAGATCGGCGTGGGTCACCTCAAATATTGACGTGTACGTGGTGCTTTAGGGCTTTCCGAGCCCAAGGTGGGGCCCTCAGAAGCCAGTGTGGGCGGCGGGCGCTAAGAGACTAGGCCCAGGGTGAGCCTGGAGCCCTCGGATAACAGTGTGAACCCTCGGGGTCTGTGTCGAATCCCTAAGGACCCTACGTAGGGACATAATAAACATGTGTTGCGGACCTCAGAGGGACACGTGAGCTGTGACCCCTCAGATGCCGGCTTGGGGTTAGCAAAGTCTGTGGCCTCAAAAGTTTGCCTGAACTATCAGAGGCCAGTTAAGGTTCTCAGAAATGTTCGAAGGCTCAAAGATCCCTATATGGGCCCTCAGAGAACATGGACACCAGTGAGACTTTCAGAGGCCGGTTTGGACCCTCTGAAAGCTTCTTTAGGGCTCAGTGGAGCTCCTTAGGAGCCTTTGTTTAAAGCAAGCTCATGAGCCCTGCGACACTTGTACGGTACTTGAGCCTGTCGCAGACGTTTGACGAGAGTTGGGAAAGGCCCCGAATATTTCGTTTCACGCTTTGAACGAAAAGTGTGTCAGCACTCCAAAACTTATGGAAATCAGCTGTAAATGTAATCAAGAACGAGCTAGGAACATGGAATGAATCACAGCATTGACATTTCCGAGTCTGGACTCGGAGACTTGAAGATTTTGGCGACTGCGAGTCAGACTCTGGTTTGAACTGCACGCTCCAACCGAGTCTGACCTCACAGTCTTCTCAGAAAGGTACCCCCATTTTTTCCCGACTCCAAAATCTCATCGGATCTGTATCGATCTCAGGGGGTGCCCGGTCCGAGGTTGGGGGGGCAAGCTGCCCCGCTTGCCCCCCCATGGCGACGCTACTGAATAATTATCAAACCTCTGCTATCCAACATTTGTAAACGAAGATATTTGTCAACACTTTATAATGGCCCCATATCTATATCTGAAGCAAGTTTGAAGTTGTTAGCTTTGGTGTAATTCAGTTTGTTAGCTCGTGTCTCCTTCGGTTTGAGTACAGGGTTGGGCAGATAAATTGGGACAAATTTCAACTTCCTCTAAAACGACTATTTTTTTAGCGATAAAGATAATTTTTAACGTAAATATAGGCTAATGAATACGTTTCCATGTTATGCAGGTTGCGTTGTAATTTTGAGTCGGCTGGCCACAGAACGTGGGCTTAACCCGCGCGGGGCTGGGGGGGTAAATTTTACCCCCCCTCGCGAATTTTTGCAATATCTCAAAAACGGCGGCGCGCAGCGCCGCCAAACTTTCAGTACCTTTTCTTACATCAATTTGACACGTTCCCTGAAAATTTGAGCGACATCCGTCGGAAAATTTTTGAGAAATTGACGTTTTAGTGACGTCATGTTCGCCATTTTCGCCTCAAAAACGGCAAAAGTTCAAACGCCGCTAACATCTTCATTTTTAAAGGAATCAAGACGTAACAAAAAAAGGATATACGTAATTCTACTTTTTCTATCAAATGGCTATCTCGGTTTTTTGAAAATTTTGGATTTTGGCCCAGATTTTTTCAAAAAACTGACTTTTTTGGGAAAATAGCTATAAAATCCAAAATTTTGAGTGTATCGAAAAAACCGGAATATATGTCAGAGAAGTGGTCTATGTGTACCTACATACCAAGTTTTAGAAGAATCGGTTCAAAAATGTGGGAGTTATTCAAAATTTTGTGACGTCACGACACACAAAAAATTGAAAAATGACTTTTTTGGAAGTTCTAGACCTCGTACGGAAACAAAAATAGCACCATTCGATTCGCCGTGAAAAACTGCATCAGATAGACACCTTTTTAGGCCTTAACAACCAACTTCAAAATTTGACCTCACTTGACCTGACCTTGACCTGACCTCGACCTGAAATTCATCCAGAGGTGGTCCATATCACTTATTGAGTGTGCCTATTGAATTCTATGAGTAAAATGACCCATAAAACATGTGTCGCACATGCCCTTTTCTATATTTTGTTTTTGGTGACCTGACCTGACCTGACCTGACCTTGACCTTGACCTCTGAATGATATTGTATGCAACGAATATTGTCTTGGTAGCCTAAGAACACGTTTTGGGCGATCAGTCTCAGTCCATGACTCCATTCTTCGGCAACTACGGTGCAAGGCCAATACTGTAGGAACTTGCAATTTGTACCCTTGACCTGACCTTGACCTTGACCTCAAACTTAAAATTAAGTACATGTTTTTAGTTGTTCGTGATGAGATCTTTCGATTGGCGTTTGAATTTTCCAAATCGGACCATTAGTTCGGGAGATAACAGGGGGGGGGGGGTAAAATTTACCCCCCCCCCCCCAGCCCCGCGCGTTCGGCTGGAGACCCCAGCCCCGCGCGGGTTAAGCAAGCCACTAACAACTTAGTCCGCGCGCACATGCATGCCAATACTCTAATTATGCTCCATCAAATGGCTGAAAGTAGTGTGTATCGAACAGACGTAAACGTTGGGGGAAGAGATGATATTGACTCATCCTTACATACCTATTGCATTGACACCGGCCGCTCCCCCGGTTTCCGGGGCTAAAAGGCAAAATTCAATTAAATCAGAGGATCCTCGCGAAAACAGTGGCGCGAGCTTACAACGAAGGTAGCCGCGCCATGAGAAAGCGACATACCAGCACCTGAAACATGTACTCTTATGCATTGATGCATATCAAGCTGTCAACAATAACATAGATGTTGAAGCAGCTGTGACGTTAAAAAGATTGTTTCCTCTTGAAGGGCTTGGAGAAGCGAGCAAGCACGTGCAGGTCTTTTTCGACGATGGTATCCCCATAACCGAACATATGAACAACCGCAAACACCATGTAACATCGCAACCAGCCCAGGAGACGTGATCTTAGTTCCAAAAAGCGATGCAGCAGACATCGGTGTAGCCATTCCACTTGGTGACTTCTCACGGTCACGTGGGGCCCCCTTATTTTACGGAATCGGGAGGGGGTTCGCCATTACAGGGTACCTAACGATTATTCCGGCAGTTCGAATCAACAAGATGAAAGAAGGCAACATCCTGCATGGAGTGATGCTCTTCGAGGAGTCAGCTCCCCGGCATACAGTAAATTAAATGCAAAATCTCCTGAAACGGAGGATCCCGCAAACTGTACCCAAGGGAAAATGCCTCCTTCCTCATTAAACCTCAGTCCACACAAGTTCTGGTTGCTGGGGCGTTTTTGCGGGTGAGTCTAACGAACGTCCCCATGTGACTGTGGTGAGCCTCAGCAGTGCCAGTTGGCTACAATTACGAGCCATTTCAGACGGGAGATCTCGCCGCGCGTGCGGCCAGTCCAGGCACCGATAAGGACTGATGCAGGTGGATCACGGTGACCACATTTGGTGAAAATGTGTAAAATTGGTGTGACAATATGTGATCCGAATTTGAAATGCCTATGTTTACAAATTTCTAAGCTACGGCGTTCTAAATGCAAATATGTATTTTGTCCCAATTTATCTGCCCAACCCTGTATGTCGGCTAATACATGCAAAACAAAGTACGTTGGTTATGAGGTTAGTCATGTTAAGAAGCTTGAGCTATTAATTTGGTTAGTCTATGTATCTAATAAGTCAGTACATTTACTCAATGAAGGAGGCTCTATGTCGTCCTCAATGTTTACTGGTTCTTCTTCCACTTCAGGTAGCGAATCTGAAATGAGGCAATGCTGCAATGATGTGTGAATTCTGCATAGTGCTAAAATGACTGTATGCTAAAATGACATAATGCTCTGGACTGTAATAATACGAGACCACTTATTCCTTGCATAATGCATACCACTTGGTTTCATGACATTAAAATCAGAGCGTTGAAAAATCACAACATACGTTTGATGACCTATCTATGTATTCTGAGACCTGATAATGGCGATAAGTTAGAGCCTGTAATGCATGTGACGAAAACAATAGCAACTATAATTGACAATGAACACAACTAAAAGTAATGTTCCATTCAAGCGATATTCTCCCATAAAAACAAGAGCCGTAAAATCACTCCAACAGCACGATGTCGCCGAACGATGCACTTACTTTGCTTAAAAGCCAAATATACGATTTTGCATTAATGTATCTCTCGTGTGGCAGATACCCAAAACAGAGACAAACCAAAATGCCCCGCACGTACTCGCAAAGACGTAAATTACCCCTGTAACTATCGAGCCTTCGTTAGCCCTCGCATGTGTGCGGCGTTTGCCAGCTTCTAATGTGTAGGGGGGGGTCGGTTGGACCCCCCCCCTTGCCGTTTGGCCCCTGATCGAGCTAGAGCTTCGCGGAAAAAACGAGCGTGTTGCCCGTGACGAGAGGAAGCCGATGATACCCAATTTTAAGGTCCTAGGTCATTGGTTGACCTTCCAGGTCAGGTCAATGACCCAAAGTCGGGAAAATCGGGACCTGTTAGAAAGTCGTAAAGTGTGGCTGCTAAGGGGTTTTTCGGGGTGCTGATCACGAATATTGTGTTAGTTTTGATCACAGATGATGTCTTGAAGCATTTAGACCAGGTCGGGTCAGGTCAGGTCAGGTCAACCAGTAGGCGTCGTGACGGGTATTCGTAGTACGTGTCAACCGCCTCTGACAGCTTCGTAACATGTTACGAAGTCACCAAAACTACTTCGTAAATGTTCAAATGGTTGCTAAATTCGAATTCAGCTCCAAAAACTAGCCCAGAAACATGTAAAACTCGAAAAAGTGACCCGAGGTCACCCGAGGTCACCAAAGGTCAATGACCTGACCTGACCTTCAGGTGACCTTGACACACACGGGAGTAACATCAAATCACATGTTTGAACGTTTGAAACCACGAAAAGCTTGCAAACACGCGGCTAGTGCGAGCCGACATACGCGAAATCGCGATTCCGGCCAAACATGGTCTCGGAAAAGAGGTCACAGGTCAAAGGTCATTTGGGTCAGGGTCATGAAATTTTCAGGGTAGGTGTCAAATTGATCAATGCGAGGGTACTGAAAGTTTCGTCGCGATCGGCCGCTTTTTACGCGAGTTATTCGCGAAAAACCATGGGGGGGGGGGTCCATCCGACCCCCCCCCCCCTACACATGCGAGGGTTAGACTAGTACAATCGACCACTGTGTCTGTTTCGCTCGAACGGCTGTCTCAGATTATCTTAGCGTGCAACTGACAGAGCGATTACCGATTTGTGACAGTCTGCTGCACTTCAGCACTGCTCGTAAAGCAGTTAGACTTGACCTGTCCGCTTGTCAGACCCAGAGCATCAGGCAGAGTACCATCCAAATCCATAGTACGTTGCACGCTGTATCGTAGGCCTTATAATTTGCAATTGTACCCACATACAATGCAATATGCAGGTATTGTGTGCTGGATGGACGGTTTCTGCTACCTGTGCCAACATGTGCTTTCTAGCACATTACCTTATGCCTAAGCATCACATTAGGAATTGTGCACATAGTCTGCCAGTGTATGTCTCGATTTCTTGTCTATTAAATCAGTTTCGTATGCGTCGTAATAATACACATTTGTAAAGTGAGTGCAACTGTGCTTTGCTTAGCCAGCATAGTGCACACTGAGCGCGCGTTCACGGTCGCTGAGGTAGCCGACGGCGACTATGACTTTCAGTGTCGAGCGGTGGCGTAAACTGGTGGGCATTAGGGAACGTTCGGTATCGAGAGATTAATGGAGCGGTTCCGTCTCGAATAACTGCCACATCTCCATATCGAAATCACATTTCAGCGGCCGGCCTGTTCCAAATCGCCGTCCGTTGGGAGGTGCTGGTATATATACAAAGGCTATACGGGCTCGGAGAAGACTTTTACGCCCCACTCCAAATCCAGGGCGCCAAAACAAAGCCATAAAATTGGCTTTATGAAGTCAATACATTGAAATGTTTTGTGATGACGCATTTCCCTGCATAAGCCGAAAAGCAAGTACGTACGCCATAGCCATCGATCACATTTTGAAACATAATGACATTTGGATATCAAATGATGTCAGGACGTCTTCAAAGCATGATTTCATCATACTGGAGGGAGAGCATGTCCGTTGCAGATTAGGACGGGGTAAACAGATGTCCCCGCTCATACGGAATTTATGTCCCGGGAAGCCGCCAGTTGGGGCTCGGCGACCTCACTGTCGGCCCTTTCCAAGCTCGCCCACTCAAGCTCAGGCTTTCACAGAGTATCTATTTTACGGGATGAGCTCAGTGGCCTGAGGCAGCCAGCCGCACTCGAGCAGAGGGCAAACTCTGCCGCAAAGTAAACTTCAACCCGGAACCAGGCAGGTGGATTTACTTCTGCGCCACATTCGCAAACGCATGTGGGAGGTTTTTATGGGACGTCTTTGATGAGAACTGTGGGCACCGATTGAAAAAAAAAACAGCTGCTAAATTTGTGAATGACAATTGCCATTTTTATACATAAAAATACTGTACAGTTCACATTGCATAAAATTATCCCATATAATAACAAAATGGCTAACTTCAATCATCAAAAAGCCAATAGCAAACATTCACTATGCAATTAAGTGCAAATCATCATTTACGCGAACATTATCCGTCAAACTCAATGTGGCACCTAAGCGAAGATGCGATCAACAAACATTGGAACACGCTATGTAAGTACTTGTATATCCAACTTTGGAAACTCCAACTGAAATCCAAAGTACCAATGCATGATTGATTGAAGATTGTGTGATTGTGTTATTGAATATGCGATTGAGGATGAGTGGCTACGCGAACAGGCATCCTTCTCTTTTAGACACGTGAAGGAATGGATACCAGTCCAGACACTGAAAAGCCACTAAATGCAGCGGATTTGTCCCCCGATAAGAGGGTAAATAAACAAATAAAAATGTTGGCCAATTTATAGGGATTTCTGAGGCAGTGCTGGCAATCTAACAGCAATTTAAATAGCTTAGGTTTTGGGCCAGCTTGAGAAGCGATTGCAAAATGACATTGCAACCTGAACTCTAGTTTGTAAAAACTTTGTACTTCACGCTGCTCTCCACATTTCATCTGAACAACAAATTGATCGAATGGTCTTAACTCTGAAAGTAAGAAAATAAACGAATGGTCAGATAAGCATTATCTTATCACATTTATTAGCAATTCTCTTTGCTATTTTAGACAGAAAATGGATCACCTTGCTCTACGCAGCAAACATCTCATGTGCTTAAAAACGAGCTGTTCATTTCGCCCCTCCCCGCACGTACCAACCACGTTGAGCTGCACGGAGATGGCCATGACGGGCTTGGTGCTGATCTGGCAGTCGTACAATCCCGAGTCGTTGTGCCGGCTAGCGGCCAGTGCCAGCGTCCAGATGGCACTGCCGCGCGTGTGGAACGCCTCGAAGCGCAGGTCAGTCGTGTACGTGTAGCCGCCCGTGGTGAGGATGTGCAGGTCCGACTGCCGGATCCAGGACACCTGTCGGGACACAAAAACACCATGTTTCAGTCGCGCGGATCAGCTAGGTAGAGGCCAGAAGCTCTGGTTGGTTGTGAATACCGAGCTGCTACCGAAATTGGGTTGATAATATTTACCTAGGGTCCAACAGAGCTGTCACAAAACAGATAAACTGACAGGTGAAACTATCGGGGTTACCACTCTAGATAAGGTGACGCAAAAACTGGAAGTCAATTCATGCGTAGTCACTGAAAAAGGCCACTAATCCAGAGTTAACGGTGCTTGAACCTGACCTGGTTTAAATCGGTGTTCTCATTGAGAAAGGAGCTCCCCCATCGCCCAGTCGCTCCACATTTCTTACAAAGACTTGTCTAACTCATTTTTCTCAGCCAATGACCCGACTTTCAATGCCGCAACAGTCAACGCTGCTCGGTGTTTCGGGCAGCGTGACCTGTCGAAAACAAAGAGTGATTTACTGGGACACGGTAGCAAGTGTATACGTCTACTGCGTTTGGCAAGGCACATAATATTTCACCGTGGCTGTAAATTGCTAGGATAACTCCCCGGCGACACCCAAAGACCATTTATCATTGCAATGAGCACCGGCAGCGCATGCCGGCCGGTTCGAGCGCGCCCGGCCCGGCTGCACCGGCCGTCAGCACGGCTGGCTTGGTTCGCCAGGCCGACACCGTTAATAACGAGGAGTACGGTACGTCCACCAACGCCCAGACAGAGCCCATGGCTGCTTGGTGAAACGGCAGCTAGATACAGTGCTGGTTTCAGAGCCATAAAATTACTAATGTTCCGGTCCCGTGAATCTCCATTCGTGATGCCACTAGCCTTAGGATTATATTGATAGCCACGCTGGAGAACTGTGTCTATTGTTCTGGCAGGAGTTTCGTGTCTCTATCCAGAGGCACGCCCCAGCCGTTTCGGATGGCTCCAGCTGGCGGGTCGTGCCGGGACCCATCTGGTCGCAGCACCCCGATCGGCAGGCAGCGGTGTACGGCGATCGACCGACGCACGAGCTTGTCGGACCGACCGCCCCGCTGCACCGGCCGGCTGTAAATGTCAGTAGTAGTTTGGGGAGGGCGGCCGCGCACCTCCGACACCTCTAGCAGGGGACAGACCGGTGGTAACACGGTGTAAGCCACTGTGAGACGACTGCAAGGCTCGGAAACAGCCGAAAGTCAAACTTATACCATGAAGTTGGCCGGACACCGTCAGTCCGCCTCGCAGCGAACGGGACAATTCCTGACGAAATCGCTTCATCCGCCGGTGCTGTCTCGTCACTGCCCAAGTTACCATCCGGAACAATGGCTCATAATCTCATGTCGGGCCGACCTGGCCTGCAGACGCTCGTAAAGCATCGCGGGCCGGTGGCCGGAGAAGAGAGAGGGGAGGGAGGGCAGTAGGGGGGTCAGCGGTGGGGATGCGGTCAATGGCCGGGATTCAGCGGATGAGAAGTTGGCGGCTCAGCGGCCAACTTTTGAACTGCTGACACCAGTTTTGAGGCCATTGCGGAAAAGAAAGGAGAAAATATGATCGGTTAATGATATACGAGCACTGCTTTTCACGACTATGCTCCGACAAGGATTACACCAAGCCGTATATCGATAACTGCAATAGTTGGCACCTTCTGTCACTGATGCTGGGCAAATATTCAGTACCTATCGGACTCATTAAAACCCCCGAGGAATCAAATTGACACATCACGTCCCCGCCTCCATTGCGCAGCGCACTACACCGAGCTCCAGGGGGTGATCTTGGAGCGGCCATTACTACCCGACAGCCACCTCTGTGCGTGGCCAGAATTCGAGCAGAGCGGCTGCCATCGGCTCCACGTACCGGTGCGAGTATATGGGTCTGAGTCGCCCCAGAGAGCACCGAGCCAAGACAGACGAGCGGTTGTCCCGCCGGCCGCGTCACGGCCGTTCCGCGCTGGCATATGGTACCGGGAGATATCGGTTCCCGTGCCATGGGGTAGAAGCGGCATTAGTCTGTCATATAACAGGGACGGGGTTGAGACGAGGCTTAAATTTACATCAATTCGTGGTCAACAAAACATCTTTGAAATTCACCACAGATGTCGATCGTTGAGCTCGGCATGCTTACCAACTACCTACCAAAAGCAGCCAAAGTAGCAAAGTACTGTTTAAACTTCAACGTGACGCCTCAGCTCCGTGCCTTAACCTAAGCGTTACAAGTTCACACCAGCCTCGCCATTTTATGGCCGTTATATCGGCCGTTCGCACGCGGCGTCTGGCACTCAGTGACAGTGCCCCTCGCCTCTGAACCCACCGGCCCGCCACTGTCCGATCGCGTGCTGTGATGAGCACCGGTAACGACGCGATTAGCGGCGGCGGCGACTCGAGTGTCCGCTGTCGTACGGCGTCGTACCCGCCGTGCACTGAGCGGTAACTGGCGTACATCAGCGCAACACACGGTGTCATTGTACTCGGCGGTGATCACACCCGGGTCAGAGTCGAGTCACACACAGCAGGGGCGGGGGCCGGCCGACGCACCGACCAGCAGGTCACACTGGGATCAGAGTCACACACACCAAGATAGGGCTGCCGGCTGGACGAACCGTCTACTACAGACCAGTCAACAATAAGACAGACAGCAAGACAGATGGTATGTGTACTAACTAGATATTGCTTAATAAATACTGAGAACCAATGTTAATAGGAACCAGACATTTCTTACCGGGTGCACTGAAATGCTTTACAAATTAGCTAGAAAGACCACCAAGACGCTAACGTGACCACGCGACGCATCTGTCACACCGCCATGACGTCATATCAGTTTTCGTTCTATGAATAGCCGAAGTGATCCATCACATGGCGTCGTGGTTCTGCACACGCCGTTACGAGGATCCTCGTGTATGTGTACCGCCCAGCTGATCTATAGGACATGACCGTCCAGCACCACCGTCTCAGACATGAACTATAGGTATATGCTACTTTTTACTTGCTTAGAAGCAAAACATCAAGCATGTCAAACATTTTTATAGCATTTCTGCAATCACTAAATGCGCCGTCCATCAATTCCTGCGAAACCATCTGATGCGATGGAACCTTGGCAATCTACTCGATATGGCACTGCTCGGCCGGAGCGAACTAAAACTTCCATAAAATACCAGACCATTCCCAGGCCCAGGAGACGTCGCTCCAAAATTTATTCATCATTCCTCGAAGTCGATTGGCCATAACTCTTTCAAAACCACTAATTTCGGGCGCCGTGGGAGTGCCGAGTGGGAAATGCCGACACAGCCGACTCAGCCACAATTCAATTCAGCAACTGACGTGACCGGATTGACAGCCGCCGGGGGCGAGCAGACACCGCGACAGCTGCGGGGAGCTTGTGCTCCCTGTGCTCCCCGCCTGTGCTCCCTGAACTGACGATGCGTTCATGGCAGGTAACATAAGACAATCGGACGCGGGCCAAATCAGTCAGAGAAGGCGGTGTGGAAAGCGGGTGGTAAATAGTCGTGTCACGATTGAACACAATCATCTCCGTTTGAAATCACTGTTTTCAGCGAAAGGGTTGAATGCCCTCTTTTCTTCTCATTCGCATACAATGGGATCGACTGTTTCTCCCAACTTTTTTCGATTGCAACTCCAAATTGGTCAGAATTTTGTGGCTGTTTAGAAAGTAGTATCACCGTTTTTTGTCAGATCACACTTCCTAATATATTGCGAGAGATAGCTGGTCTCACTCGTCGCGCTCAGCGCCCACCGCCGACCGTCGCGGTGTTCCGCAGCACAGGGATGCCCTGCGGCACAGTCTAGCCACGCAGGTGAACCGCTCCGGCTTGTCGCCGAGCCGAGCAGCCCTGGGCCGGGAGGAAACAGTTCAGTGAGCCGCGGAAACGAACCGAGACATTTGGAAACATCCTCCCGCATCAATAATGGCTCAGCCAATAGCAATTTTCAGTCGGGGCACGTTGCGCTCGACCTAATTTCAGTGAGCACCAAATAGCAAACGAAAAATGTCGACAGCTCAAGACAGTGCCACAGCCCACACAGTGCCAGTAAAATATGTGATAAGGTCCCCAAGAATAAACACGTTTTGAAAGACAAACAAAACTCCGCCTGCTCTTTTAAAATCTACTTACGCTTCTAAAGAATAAGTGAATGATGGCGATGCAGCTCTCAGGGGAGATAATTTTCGTCAATCGTCGCGTCTCACATAAGTTTCAACTCCAGCCCGACCCTTCCCTCGAGTCTGTTACAGTCTGGTTAGGGCTGGGCTAGCTGGCACAGCATCATTGCTTCAAAATTTACCCACAAGAACATGCAGCAACCGTGTATCGGTTGCCATACTTCATTTCATGTCGTAGGTTTATTATTAACCAATAAGAACCATTTTCAACTTTTTATTTCAAAACCAATTTCACTAAAACCACATAACGCAAACATATGGTTCTGACACCAATAAGATAAAAGGAGACATCCATTTGCCAGGAATGTGCGTCAAATTTGTCCTTCAGAAGTCCAGATCTAGAGGATAAAATAAACGATCGGCCGACGTTTTCTCAAGAAAACTGATTGTCGGCAATTAGTTTGTGTCAGAATGATTCTAGAACAAACTGCACTTTTCGTGTTAAGTGCGCCCAACAATTTTTTCAGAGACCAATGAAAAGAAAAGTTATAGTTCCATTGACAATCTGGCATTATCCATTCTTTAGTTGATTCAAAGATGGAAGGATTCACGAGATCGTTAATTGCACTAGACAGCTCATATCTGATAACAGTGGCGGCGAAACATTTTCAATTAACCCGCGCGGGGCTGGGGTCTCCAGCCGAACGCGCGGGGCTGGGGGGGGGGGGTAAATTTTACCCCCCCTGTTATCTCCCGAACTAATGGTCCGATTTGGAAAATTCAAACGCCAATCGAAAGCTCTCATCACGAACTACTAAAAACATGTACTTAATTTAAAGTTTGAGGTCAAGGTCAAGGTCAGGTCAAGGGTACAAATTGCAAGTTTCTACAGTATCGGCCTTGCACCGTAGTTG